TTAATTAATTTAATATAAAAAAATATTTAGTTTCGGTTCTTATTCGGTTCTTCGATTCTTAGTCTAGACCCGAGACTCGACCCAAACCAAACCCATCGGTTCTCGATTCGGGTACCCGTTCGGGTATTTAATTTATGAAGAACCACTCGATTCGGGACTTTTGGACACCCCTATGTGTGGTGGAAAAGTAATGAAAATTTTTAGATTTATGTGTAATATTATTTTATTTGATAAATGTTTGGTTGTAATGAAGAGAGAGAAAAATTTAATGTAATATAATTTAATTTAATGGGGGCCAAACAGGGGCTAAAGTTTTAGTTTCGATACCCCATGATTTGAGTTCCAATCTTTGCTTTCTATATGTTCCCGGGGTTTGTTTGGCACACCTGTTGTGAGTAGAGCTTTTGGTAGTAGAACTCTTATAAAAAGCCGTTGACTATTGTCGTAAATCCAAAAAGTGCTTTGTATAAACTTCTACAATTTCTTGTAAAAGCTCAATTAGAGCTTTTTAGAGAAGCTCAAGATTTGGGCTTCTCTAAAAAGCTTTTTAAATAAGTTTTTTGGTCAAAAAGTGCTTTCTGGTTTAGTCAAACAACAAATATTTGAAACTGAAGCACTTTTGACCTCCCTTCTTCCTGGCATGGTATGCAGTAGATTCAGAATACTGCATGCCTTCACCTATAATGCTCAATACCGAAACAGATGGCAATATCTTGATTTTCTTATTAAATGTTTTTACATTTGAAAAATTTAGATTCTCGTGGCTACACCTGGAAGGCTAAAGGTTCATATTGAGAATACAACTGGATTTGCTAGCCGGCTGATGAGTGTTAAAGTGTTGGTCCTTGACGAAGCTGATCATTTGTTAGACATGGGTTTCCGCAGAGATATTGAGAAAATCATAGCTGCTGTTCCAAAACAGCGTCGGACACTTTTATTTTCTGCCACAATTCCACAAGAGGTAGTCTCCGTTCTGTAGACACCCATGTAAAATTTGTGAAATTATAAATAATGTTCGTCTTGCAGGTTCGTCATTTGCCATATTGCTTTGAAAAGATACCATAAATTCATCAATACAGTGGAGGAAGGAAGTGAGGAAAAACATGCACAGGTCTGCTGTATTTGAAATGCATTTTGTTATATAATTTGCTTTTTGGTTTTCTATTAGTTGCACTGACATATTGTTTCCCATTAATGTGAAAAAACTGTCAGGTCAGACAGATGCATCTGGTTGCTCCTTTGGACAAGCACTTTTTGCTTCTCTATACTCTGCTGAAAGATCATATCGCTGATGATGTTAATTACAAGGTATTATATCCAAACCCTAACATTAGATATATTTATGATATTCTTTCTGCAGAATCATGCATAGAGTATGTGGTTACTGCTGAAAGCAAATAAAATTATTTAAAGCTGATGCAGGAGGATCCGAGTCAGACGAAACTGAGTTGTCAGCTAACTCGTTGATGGCGCTAACGTACCATGAGATGGCGGATCGCCGTAAGAATGGAAAGTAATCGAAGACATTTCCTAA